CCATTTGTCAGAGCTGGCTGCTGGCTCTTGATTGGCTTTGTTCTAGTAAAGTGACATTTGCTGTGACCCTCATCTCCCCATGCCCTTCCCTAGTGTGCAGGAGGACAGGCTGGTAGGCAGAGTTCAGGCACTGGGGGAGCAGGAAGCCTATGTCTTAGTCTGGAGAGGGGCCTTTGGGTCAGCATCAGAGCCCATGCTGGCCAAACAAAAAGGCTTGAGGGCTTCGAGGAAGACCTCATGTCCTCACAGCGCCCTGAGCATCCTATCTGTAACATGAACCTTTGGGTAAAAACTGCTGGACCCTCTTTGAAGATGAGAGTCTACCCAGGAGGGAGGTCATGCAGAATGTAAGGTCTTGGAAAGAGTGTTGTTGTTTCTTTTCAATATCACCCTGTGCAAGAGCACATGGGAGCAGAGACCCTTCAAGCAAGTGGCTCTCCTTCTTGGCCCTCGCCCAAATGACCCTGGGCAGGAAAACTGCCCTCCAATTAGCAATGAGAACAGTAAGGCCCACTATAGCACCAAGTGGAATGACCCCAGCCCCAGTCTGGTGACATTTCAGCGCTTTAGACCGCATGCCCTTTCTTGGCCCTGCACAGCAGGGCTGAGACACGAGGTTATTTTTATCTGATGGTGCTGTTATTGGTGTTTTGGTAGCTACTGCTGCGGGCTCTGGCAGTGGCAAGTGCGCAGCAAGGGTTTCCTGTGCAGCTTCTTCCTCCTTCCTCCACGTGGTTCCCTCCCACCTCAGGGTTCAGGTTGCAGCCGCTGCCTGGAACCTAACCTTGGTCTTGGAGGACAGCAAGAGCATAGTGGCCTTTCCAGGCTTGTCCCCCACATACTGGCCACTCAGGCTGCACCCTTGGGTCCCCCACCCATTTCCTCTTCAAAGAGGGGTACCAAGGTACTTTTCCTACTGTCCTCTCTCCCACCTGCAACTCTACTCAGTAAAACTGTTGCTTTCTGCGAAGCCAGATTCATTGGATTCATCCTCAGTTTTGACTGTGAGCTACCATCAGAATTTTTTCTTTTCTTTTAAAAATTCTGGTTGCAGCTTACCAATAAATTGATTTCAAAACCTAATAATGAGTCATGATTCAGTTTGAAAAATACTGTGCCAGATAACTTTCTGGAGCTATTTCTCTTTTCTGAGTGAAGGAAAGGCACTAGAATTTATAGACACCCTCTGAACAAGCACTGCCCTGGCTTTTGAGTTATACGTATTTCACAGAGAAGGAAGCTGAGCCCACGTTCTTACAACTAGAAGAGAGGTGCTGAGCTTTCTCATCCTGCCTCCCATATCATCTTGGGTCCACAGAATAAGCCATGGTAGGAACATGGACACCATGGAAATGGGAAGACAGCACAAATGAGAGCTCTGAGTGCTGGCTGTTCCACACTTATCAGCACACTATTGATTCTAACCCTGCTCTTTCTGATTCCAAATGCAGTATACTATGAAGTTCTCTAACCTCAGCTTTGTCATCTGCAAAATAGCATCAAAAATGTCCACTTTGTTGGAAAATATATATTCATTGAGTACTTTCTGGTAAGTAGGAGGGACAATGATGAGAAGAAAATCAAAATGCAAATAATGGATTTCTTACCATGATGGAATTTAAAAGATGAAGTCCCCAAATTCCACTGTCTTTAAAATTCCCAGGGTTGCTAAAGTAGTTTGTACAAAAAGATTGTATCTATGAAAACCCACAATTTGGCAAAGTGTGATGAGAATGAGAAGAAATGGAGGAAAAACAGTGCTCTGTAAATGGCAGCCAGTACTAGAAAAGAGTGGGTTTGCATTTTTCTGACTGAAAATGGGAAAGGAAATATTGGAAATGAATCGCATTTCAAAGTAGGATTTCTATCCAGGCAAACAGAGGAGAGTCTCATGAATATTCTGATTTAAAGATTATACTGATGAACATATCACACATGAACTACTAATTCTCACAATTCTAGAATATGGGCTTTATAGCCTCAGAGATATCCAGTCTCGGGCAATGGTGTCCCCTCTACCTGACAGCTCCCTCTGCCCGGTAACATCCACAAAAGACTGAGAATAAGACTAAAGAAGGCCAAGTGAGTGTTCCATCCTCATACCCCTTTGCAGGAGGTACTTGTCTTACCTTCATTTCCCAGACAAGAGCATGGAGGTCCCCAGACATGAAGAGACTGCCCCTGAATCACACATGGGTGCTAAGCAGCACTGGAAGGAAAGACAACCTTTGTAACAGCAGCACTCCTCACCTGTTATCCAGCGCTTTCTCCTTCAGGAGGCTTGGGGTAAAGTGGAACAGCATTGAAGAGATTGGCCAACCATGAAAAAAATGGATGAAGAAACTGTATTTTCAAGCAAATAATTATTCTGTTTAGAAGGTCATGTGGAGAAAGTGGGAGACAGAAATGAGGACTCACATTTCCATCCCCAGGGGCTATTTGCCTGCGAGTGCCCAGTTGTTCCACACCATTTGTTGTAAAGATTATCCTTTCTCCACTCAGTTGCCTTTGCACCCTTGTCAAAAATCACTTGACTGTACATGTGTGAGTTTATGTTTGGACTCTGTTTCATTGATCTGGTTTTCCATCCTGACACCAATACTACAGTTTTGATTATTGTCACTTTGTAATAAATTTTGAAATAGAAAACTGCAAGTCCTCTGTGTTTTCTTTCAAAGCTGTGTTATTTGGAGACAGAGTCTCACTAAGTTGCTAAGTTGCACAAGCTGGGTTTGAACTTGTGATTTCCTCTATATTAGACTCCAGGGATGCTGGGATTACAGGCTTACACCACCATGTCTAGCTGGTCCTTTGCATTTATGTATGAATTTCACAATCAGATCATTGATGCGTACAGAAAGAGAAACTTGCTGATATTTTGATTACATTGAATCTATAGATAAATTGCAAAAGAACGAAAATGACTTTTTTTAATGCTGGAGATCAAATCCAAGACCTTGTGCATCCTAGCAACCACTGTACTACAGGGCTATATCCTCCAGCCCAAGAGCTGACATCTTGACAATATCAAGTCATTCAAATCCATGAACATGGTATATCTTTCACTAATATATGCCTTTATATGCCTTTTTAAAGTTTTCTCAGAAGTAGTTTTGTAGTTTTTGTTGACCAGGTTTTGTATATCTTTTGTCAGATTTATCCCTAAGTAGCTTCTATTTTTTTTTTAGTAGCTTCTATTTTTGATGCTAATATAAATGCTGCTTTAAATTTTCATTTCTTGTTCATTACCAGTATATAGAAATGCAATCAATTTTGTATATTGAGCTTAGATTCTGCAAGCATGCTAAACTCATATGTCAGTTATCATAATGGCCTAATTGACTGATTATAGTTTCATAGGATTTTCAAAGACAAATGCTCAGAGGCCATGTTCAAAGAGTCCACACTCTAATAAACTCCATCCTCAGCCTGTCAGAGGGAAGCAGATGAACATCCAACATGAGGATGGGCAGATCCTGCAAGTTACTGCAGGGAAGCAGATCCATAGATGTAGAGGCTTCATTAAGGCTAATGTTAATACGCATTCATATTCTATTAATACTGGGCAACATCCTCAGCACAGATCACTTGATTATCCTCTACATTCATTATGGTTAGGGTCCCAGAAGAGGGCTGAGAAGACAAAAATTCAGTCTTGTGTTAGAAAAATCTTCCAAGACTTCTTCTACAAAGGACCACTTTCTCTCATTTTGACCTCCACAAAGCCTCCTTCCCAGTCTCCAGGCTTCTCATCTTGCCCCCTCCAACCCATTTCCACCGAGCCAGGTTGTGTAAAAATGTAAATCAGACCCTGCTATGCTCCTGCACTTAGAATAAAATCTAAACTTTTCACCCAGCCCTAAGAAGCCCTCTTTGCACGACTCCCTTTCTCACCCCTCCCAGTCAAGCTCTTCCTGGTAGAAGCAAGCATTCCACCATGCATTCCAAACCCTTCTTTTCCCTGCTACTCATCATCTAATTCCTCCTTGTCATTTTTCCTGAAACCCTTTCTGACCTTCAAAACTGATACTCACTCTGAGAGAGCACCTCAGCTTTTTCCTGCCTTGTACATATATTTGTCATTTAATTTTACACTCAAACTGCCATGAGAGCCAAGACCACTACTAGTTTTTCTTGTACTGCGGATTGAACACAGGGTCTTTGCTTTGGGCTACATACTCAGCCACTATTTTATTTTATATTTTGAGACAGGATCTTGCTAAATTGCTAAATTGCCCAAGTTGGGCACAAACTTGGGATCCTCCTGCCTCAGCTTCCCAGAGTGCTGGGATTACAAGCATGAGCCACCATACCTGGCTAAGACTATTGTTAATTTGCATCTCCCACCTCTTACTTGACAACTTGACAAATGATTTGAATGACTGCTTGATCTCTCAGTACTTACCCCGAAGTACAGCTACTCACCTACCCCACCCCACACTCAGCCTTTGTGATCAACCTCACATCTTGGGGTTCTTTTCCTTTAAAGGATTGTTCAAACCTTGGCTTCAGGTTCAAACCTCCCCAGGTGATTCTAGAAATATTAATCCTTGAACTCCACTCCAGATCACTGAAATCCAAATCTCTTGGATAAAGCCCTGGTATTTGTTTTTAAAACTCCCTAGGTAATTCTCATGTGCATCCAGAACTGAGAACCACTCACAGTGAAGAAAAGAAAGGTGGCTTTCATCCAGCCAGGTGACAAAAATCCATGGATGAAGTCACCCAGCAGGACCAGCAGACACGAGGGGCCTCGCTCAGGACTCCCCTCAATGCAGCCTCCTGTGAGCGTTGACCTTTGTCTCGAATGGACTCAACTCCAACATAGCAGGAAGGAAGAAGGAAACTAGACCCAAGTGGAAAGCATTTTCAAACTTTATTTACAACTGTCACAGTGACAAAAAGTAGTTTGGAAAAAAAAAAATGCTAGTTTCTCCCTGAGCCTCAAAAAAGAACAGATAGAAGTTACAGAGGTTCATTTCACAACAGGCGTTTTACTGAAATACTAGGATTTTTTTTTTTCAATACGATCAGTTAGAAATACACACAAATTACTTAAAAAAAAAAAAAAAGAGGAGGCCAGACAGGAGCTCAGCCACTTGTCCAAGAGCAGCTGGGTCCCCCAGCAGGCTCAACTGCCAAGGGCCTGACATGAGCTGTCCGCCCCTGGCCTGCTCAGGCCACAGACGGTGGTACGAAGTGGTCTAGTGACCAGCAAAAGGAACAAACCATCCCCATAACATACATATACACAGAGTCGATTTGATGCGTGGTTTACAAGCACATTTCCATCACATGTCAAGACAGCAACAGATGATCCCAGGTAGTAGATGAGAGGGAGACACTGAAGCACAAGAATTTCAAAGGCAAGACCCACGTCCACAAAGGGAAGCAAGGGACAAGAAATGCTGTGAGGGAGTGAGAGGGTTAGGATGAATGGACCTCTGCAGCCAGAACGGAAGGAAGTGGGGAGGAAGAGAGAAGCCCCCATGCAGCACAGGCTCCAGGCCCTCCTGCATCTGCTGGGAGGAGCCAGAAGAAGTTATTGCCATCGGTGTGTGTGACACAGGCAGAGGACAGAGGGGAGAGCAGGGGTGGGGGTGACTGCCGGCATCCCAGAACCAAATCCCCACGTCAACAGAACATCCCCTCCTCCTGCCCTGACATGCCCCAGAGCCACACTGACCGCGAGGTATTAAACACAGCTAGACACATAAGTCCAAGACCAGGGCCAAGCTGGCCTAACTGGAGACCTGAGGGGACATTGTGGGCGCCTTTCGTGGCTGGTGTAGCCCAAAGAAGGCTCTAAATCCACCCCTTGGCCACAAAGTCCTGCTCTGAAACAGAGTCTCTCCTGCAACCTGTTGTTCCAGAAGGTTCTGAGCTATGACTGGAAGCTGAGTCCAGAGGCTGACTTTCTCAGGCAACTGTTGTCCTTGCTGGAAACAGGTGGAAGGTGGGGTGGGATGAAGGCCACAGGTCCGCAGGGTCACCAGAGTGCGCCCTCCCCACGCCTTCCTCCCACCTGCGTCCAGGAACAAGGTCAGGAGGAGTAGAGATCTCTTCTCAAACTGGATCCCATGGCTGCTCCACGACACCCCAGGACTGTACCAGCCAGTGGGACCTGCATGAGAATGCACCTCCCCACAAGAAGAGTGCTCTCCCTCAGCTCCCACAGAAAGTCAAGCCAAGATCCAAGCAGGGAGTGGGCGCTGCTGCCATTCAGGGGGCTGCAGTCCCATCAGTCTGGCTGCAGTGGTGGCCACTGCCAGAGGATGGCAGGAGGAGGTGGAAAGGCAGCCCTGGGGGAGCCACTGAGCCGCACCTCTGCCCTGTGGGACGCTAAGAACAAGTCTAAGAGAGGGTCAGAGAAGAGGGGAATGCCCAACCATCAGCCTTGGGGTACCAACAAGGGCAGGAAATGCCCTCTCACTCCTCAAAGTACTGGAGGCAAATGAGAAAAGCTTAAAAGCACTGCTTCTTAAAAATCTCAGGTCTTTGGGGTTCCTTGAGCCTGCTGCAGGAGGGGGCAGCATCTGTGGGATGCACAGGGTGACCGACCTTTCCTTTCTTTTCCCGAATATCCCTCTAGCCAGCTTTGTAAGCAGCCCATTTCTCCTGGCCCCCTGCGCCTTCCTCTCTGTCTTAGATCGACACACCTGAAGTAAAAGCAAAGGCTGGCAGTGGGTGAGACGGAGCGAGAGATGAAGGGTTGGTTTCTGATGCCCCGCCAACCAGAGAATGCGTGCTGAACACTTCCTGGCTGCAGTTCTCCGCTCAATGTTTTCTTAACAACATGTAATTGTTTTTCTTTTGCCCCAGGTTTGTTTTCCTGACCCTAATGTTCCTTGCTTGTCTGCCCATCCCCCTCAGCCCACCGGACCCCCCCACTGTCTGGCTGCTGGAGCCCAGATACTGATCTCAGAAGCAGCTCCTTTCTCACACCCCCACCCCGGCTCTCCGCAGCTTCCTTTCTCTGAAGGCTTTGCAACTTGTCAGAGGGCTCCACTGCTCAATGAATTTCAAAGAGACAAGAAAAGAAAAGAAAACCAACTCGGGTGATTTGCAGGTGCAACAGAAGCCTCATTTGACATTTTCAGAATGATCGGGGCTCACTCTCTTCTTCCATCGCCATGGGAAAAACACAGTTCAGGTCCAGATGCTGGCTGGCATGACCCCGGAAAGCCCACGGACACTCTACTGCTCCTTGTTTTCTTTCCCCGTCTCTTCGCAGTTGTCTTGCTCATCCTCCTGGACCAAGAACTCCTCGGGAGGCCACCGGAGCTCCCCACTTTCCACCTCCCCCTCTGTGGGTTCGACGACTATGGAGGGCAGGCGGTCCTTCAGCTTGCAGCAGCGGTCAAAGTCTGACGGGTCAGGGAAGATCTGAAATAAAAGCGCAGCAGCCAACTGGTCATGCACATATTTGAAAAGAGGAGTTCAGTTCCTTCCTTGCATGCACATGGCACACAGAGCATGGCTGCCTGCCGGGGACTGGGCGATGCCTTTGGGACACTGGGGGACATATGGCAGGAGCCAGAGGTGTAAGTTCTGGGAGAAACTGTCCCCCAGCCAGACTCTGCCAAAAGTTTGGGGACAAGCCCACTGAACCCAAAAGGCTGATGTAACTCTGTGTGTGCTCTTTGTTTTATATCCAGAGAAAAGAATCATGCTGTCACAGCAAATTGTCTTTTTGCAGCAAGCATTTTATACCTGCAATCCAAAGTGTACAACCGGTACCAAAACATAAAGTTCCTACCAGAATAGTTATTGGCACCTAGTAGAAGCAGGTCCTTTACATACATCACTGCAAACCAACACGTCAAAAACAGGTGTTGTTCATGCTATCTTAAGGAATCACCGGCTTGGGCATGTAAGTTGTTCAAGACCATACAACCTGGAAATGAAAGAATCTCAAACCCAGGTCTGTTTAACTCCCTTGCCCATGCCCCAATACCACCTTGCCCTCAAATAGATGGGTCTTGATCCTATTATGGCTATCAAGTCAAAGCCAAATCTGGATTGAGAGCAGGCCTCCAGTCACAAGGAAACTGGGAGCAAAATCCAGAGTGCCTTCCCCTCTCAACTGTTAGCGACTCCTGGTTTCCTGCCAGCTCTACACCTGGAAGAGTCTACTCCTTTTTCCAGAGTTCCACCCATGAATCTGTTTTCTAAAGCCTACTGTGTGTCCCTCCCAGACCTGGCAGAAACCCCAAGCCAGGCTACAAAATCAAGGGCCAAGTCTGGCTCCATGGATTCCCTTTGCACACACTGCCCTGTGACTACGGCTGACCCAATTCTTTGCCCAGCAGCTTATGTCCTTAATCCACTAGGCTGCTGGTCCCTTGCCATTCGCAGCCCCTAGTGACACACAAGAGAGCCAGAGAGAGGAGCCTTCATCTGGGAAGCTGGGGCTCACCAACTTGCAGGCACTTTGGCCCCTTGGAGGCCATCTCCTCCCACCTCTCCATGTGACAGACAAGAAAGGCAAGACTACAAGAGTCAGGAGACTCGCTCAAGGTCACAAAGCTTGCTCCTGGCAAAAGGACAAGTGGAGACACACACCTGAAAAGATCCCCAGAAGCGCCCGCTCCTGCAGCTGGAAACGGGTTCGCGTCAGTAGGCAGATGTCCTCTTTTCCCAGAGGAAGAAGAAATGCTCAGGCCCTCCCAACTTCTGTGAAGTCCTAGGGCACACATCTTACTCCACCCCAACCCCAAGCCAAGTCACACTCTGACCATGTCACAGGCCACACGGGGCTTCTGGGAATCACGGGCTTCAAGAAGCCTCCTCAATCCCTGCAAACCAGTGATTATCAATCATTTATCCAATAAGGGCCTATTGCTGGGGATTAAGCTTTAAGCCAGCTGCGTGGCCAGGCATCATTAAAGACTTAACAGGGCTCATAAAAAGTATCATAATAGCAGCCAGAAAGAAACCAAGTCAGAGGAGGGGCCAAGCCTGGGCCTGTCAAAGTGGGTCCAGGGAAACTGAGCACAATTCTGGGCTTTCTCCTGCTGCATGGCCAGCCTGAAATTTTGCCCTCGGCTGCACCATTCACACAGACTGGAAAGTGGCAAGCAGAGAGTCAGTCAAGTAAGCTCTTTGGGCCCTTCCTCACTTCTCCTGTGGAGCTGAGGCCCTCTTGGTAGGGAGTGAGGATGCAAGGTGCCTTTCTAGCTCAAGGTCTAGGAGTGAGCCAGGGGAGCCGCAGCGAGTGGGAAAAACACTACAGTTTACAGGCCTCACTACCACTTAGGAGCACTAAGACTCTGGACCAGTGGTGGTGAACTATGGCTTGCATGCCATAGCGGTCGGTTTCTTATCACTGAAAGGACTCTGGATCAGGATTCCAACCTTGATCTGCTGTTTTTCAGTGCTTATGACTTTTTTTTTTTTTTGGTACCGGAGATCAAACTCGGGTCCTTGCGCTTGCACAGCAGGCTTATGCCTTTTGAAAAACAAGACGGATGCCATGGGGTCTACATCTTTGATTCACAGATGGGAAACTGATCAGGAAGAGTAAGCAGGATTCTGGGTCTCCAGTGCCCAGTCAGCTGGAGGCAGGCACCAGGATGAGCTTCTGGGCTAGATGCTTGTCCTAAGCCTTCAGGACCTGAGACAGAGCTGTGAGCGATCAAGAAAAGATGGTCACAGGGCCGGGGATTTAGCTCAGTGGTTCCACAACCTGCCTTGAAAGCCCAAGGTCCCAAGTTTGATCCCCGGTACCAAAAAAAAATTTTTTTTAAAGAAAAAAAAGAAAAGATGTTCACCTAGCCCTGCACAGTCCCTGGCCCCAAGCTGAGGCTTGGGCCTCCCTGTGACATAGCTGGGAGAAGTGATTTTCATTATGATCACCCAAGGAAGAGTGAACGAGACAAAAGGTAAGGTCCCACCAGGAGAAGCAGGGAGACTGTAAGAAAGGGAAGCCCCTAGTTTCATTACAGTCTGGGACTAGGTATTTCCTTCAAATAAGGTAGGGAAAGGTTACAGTAACGTGTACAATAACAGATGAGATTTGTGCCAGGCAGAATCTCAGTCTTCACGATAGCTTCATGTGGGATGTAGTGGTGGGGTCCCTGTTTTATAAATGAGGAAATTGAAGCCGATAGCAGGTATGTCCCTTGTGCAAGGCCACTTTCCTAGAAGTGGCTGCACTGAACCCAAACATCCGTAAGCGTTCAATGAAGCCTTCATTTGAGGACAATGGATGAAGCCTCAGAACCAAGCTCCTTCCTCACTGTGTCCTTGACACCAATTACATGACCCCTGTGGAGGCCTCTCAACCTCCCCCACCTCATTTTCTCCTCTTGATGAGTACAAGTGCTTGGCAAATAGAGAGGATAAAGCACTCTGAGAACACAAGTGAAATTCAAATCATAATGTCTTCTTTGGAGCAGGTTCAGCAGGACTCCAGTAAGTATCCAATCTCTAAGCAAGAAGCAGTAATATTAACACAGTAATTAAAATAACTCCAAACTATACCTTTCACACCAAGAGTTCTACAATTAAGTCTTCAAAGTTTGAGCACTGAACTTTTAAGATTGCTTAGTTGTCAAGGACCTTTGCTTAGAGCACGAGCTATTTTTTAAACTATTCTGGGGGACAAAGCTTATTAATTGTACTTTTTACAAATCACTATAATAATTATTCCAACCCTTCCATCAGAGATGTTATTTTGTTATCAGATTATACCAATTTATGCCTCTGAAAATTGTAGCTCTTTCCAAAAATAAACAAAATGCACGCAGGACCAAACAGCCTCATGGTTTCCTTGCAAGCAGACAGAAAACCTTGCAAAGTGTTGCCGAGTCTTTTGCCAGCACAATGTTATCTCCAACAGCTGCTTAAGAGGCTGACCCCAAGGAGGTCAACATTTTTCCACTAAGTCGTGCTTTTTAATCATGTAGACAGAAGAAAAATGAAAGGTTGCAACTGCAATTTGATGGGGTGGGGAAGGCAGTGGAAAAAAGAACCGGAGCTAGCCTTGCCAAGCACATGACAGGTAGAGTTAAGGCGGCAGGCCAGCCCAGCATGCAAGCCCAGCATGCAGTTTGCCTGCAGGAACTGGCAGAGAATACAGAATCACTCCTTTTCTAAAAGAAGAACCTGCAAGCCCAAAGTGCCCCTTTCTCCCTGGACTGCAGAAAGAGAAAAAAAAAAGTCCTTCTCCCACCCATCTTCAGCAAAGGCTCATCTCCACGAGGGTCAGAAGGAAACACAGGGAGGCTCCAAGAAGCGTTTTCCACCCTCAGCCCAGCCGGGCAGGTCTAGAAGAATCCATCTGCGGCTGTAGTTCTCCCAGCCCGATACTTTTCTCCCTCTGCCAGCACTGCTCTCTGCATCCACCTGTCACACAGTGCTGCCCAAGCCGATGGCTTGGATGTAACTAATGGCACCAAGTTCCCTCCTTTGCAAATAGTCTGAAGTCTTGTCAATCACACACATCCCTGTCCTGCATGCCCGACTATGTAGGAACACCAGGCATTCAACCTCTGCAGAGGCGTTTTCACCGGGTGGCCAGCAATCCCAGTAACTCCCCATACTTTGGGAATTCACATAGCTTCCTCTGCAAGGTCAAGGGAGCTTCTCAATGCTCTAAGAGGAAGAGACAGTCTGGGAGACGGAGTCTGGATGCCAATAAACTAGAATTTCTGGCCATGGAGAACAGCACTGTACAACAGAATGTTCTACAGTCACGAAAATGTCCTCTGCACTGTTCAACACAACAGTCTCTAGTCCCGTGTGGCTACTGAGCACCTGAAGTGTGGCCAAATGTTAAATTCCTAAACATAAACTTACACGTCATTGAGTAAGTGTAATATAAATGTAAATTTAATAAAATGTGCACAGATATTTGTGACTACCACACTGCATAGGTGATTAAAGCTCAAGGATGGCAAAAGCAAGACTGTCCGGGGCAGGACGTCTGGATGGCTCAGCAGCACAAATGGTCTCAGAGCAGAGAACTGCAGGCTGGGCGAGCTTCTGGAGAGAAACTGATGAGCAGGCTCTTCCGCCTGGGCACGAAAGTTGCCAGTGGGAACCAGCTCTTGTTTCGTGCGCAGAGGGGAACTGAAAGGCAACACCAGGGCTCCCAAGGCCCCAAATTTAGAGTTGTAGTTATCAGCTGTCTGCCTCTCAGCCAGGTGACCTAGACCTGGCTGCCTCTGGGTGGGGAGAGGAGAGAGAAGCCTGGCACCCAGTGTGGAAAATGTGAGTGATCCTGGCTGGATCCGCCCTAGCTTGTGTGTGTGTGTGTCCCTCAGCCATCATCTCAGACAAGCAAGCGGAGCTGGCAACAAAGCTGGCGGAAGGCTTAGCAAAGAACTGAGGGATGCTAATAGGGAAAGCAGACACCAGCAGGTGGAGGAGATGAGAGGTGG